GGTGCTTGCTTCGGCCGCTTCTGAGGTTGGGTCTGACGTGGGTTGCGGTTCTGTTTTCGGGTAGACGTTGACCGAGATTTGGTGCTTGGGAGCTTCCCAATCCATCCTGCCCTTGGGGAAGACGGCTTCGAAGAGCTGGCTCTTCCCCACGTTGGCTTTGCCCACCATCCACCCGGCACCGCCGCGTTTCCAGATCTCCTCCTTGAGGTCCTTGGTCCACCAACCCCTCTTCGCGCTGACGCAGTGAACATTCCCAAGTCTGACACGCCCGCCGACCCTGCCGAGTGCCTCCCGCAATGTTTCCTTGAGGTATGGCATCAGCGAGTCCACCTGAGCCTTCTGGGGTGCCAAGAGATCGGACCTGCTGATGATGAAGCTCATCTCAATCCTCCTCCCGTGTTGGTACTTGACTGATTTTGAGCGGCGGTTCTGGGTACGCAAAGTGACATCCAACAAACCGTGGAGCTTTGAGAGCAGGGACATTGGGAAGTCAGCGGCGTCTAGGACGTGGTACACGTGGTTGTGCTTGTACGGCGACTCGTCGATAGTGTCGCGCAGGGATTCGATGCTGGGGTGGTAGATCGAGTTGCCGGAGGCGTGATGGATCAAGGTGTGGCAACGGTCGCAAAGGGGGGGTTTTTCTACCGCCGGCGCGGCTTTGACCACGGGTTCGCGCTCCGGCAATAGCGCCTTGAGGTTGATGCCCTGCCGTTCTAGGGCTTCGACATCGACTGACTGCAGCGCTTGCTGTACGATTTGGTCGGTTTCTTGGGGTTTCTCCTCGTCCGTTTCCTGCATCAAACCCAGATACCGCTTGACCGCCTTCCGTGATACATCGTAGTAACCGGCCTCGTCGGGGACCGTGGTTTGCGACAAGGCGCCGCACCCGTGGCATTGTAGAGGTAGTGTCTTGGTGGGTTGGTTGTTTAAAGCGAGCGGTTCTACGTTGACAGATGCGACGGTTTCCGTATGCAACCGTCGTACTCGGACGGGGCTCGTTTTTGCTCGGTATGACCGGCGGAGTGTCGCGTGCTCAGTGGAAAGTGACCGAAATGCAGGGCAAAGATACAGCGGTACCTCTGATGGCGTAGCTCTGCGCTCAATGTTGAAGACCCTTCCTAGCCATCTTGAGTGTAGGGCACGTCCCGGCGCCATGACGGATGAATGCTTTTGGGAGTAGGCCGACTTGCCGACTTATCGACTGGTCGGGCTATTGAGTAGCCCACACTGCGCAAGGTTCCTCAAGGCGGCTGGTGAGTTCAAGCTCGAGGGTCTCGCATCGACATCGAAATTCTTGTGCCGAAACTTCTAGCAGGGGTTGCGGCAGGCACAGAGAATGGTGCCCCACCTCAAACTGACAAATTGACCCATGTCTCCAAATCGGAGGGGGGACAGCCCCCGGCAGGCAACGAAAGCGGTGAATCAGAGGTTCCAGAAGTCCGGCCCAAAAATTTACGGGGATTCTGAGCAGCGGCCACCTCGGCGCATGATACCGAAACGTCCACATCCACCTAGTTTGTCTTGAGCTCGCTGGCTCACAGTATTTCAAGATGGTGGGTGTCCTCCGCCGTGCGAACCGTCTGACAGAAGTAAGTTATTTTAGTCTTTTCTAGTTTGCGACCAATTGGCTAACTTGGTGTCGTAGAAGGTAGAGTAAACTCCGCACCTCCCCGTTCGTTATCGATCACCTCACCTCCGACCCCGCCAACCGACGGTACTGACCCCCCCAGCTCGTCTGGATAAGGAATGGACCCGGAGCGGCGATTCTCCCGCAGGATGTGACACGGATACACATGGACTTTGCTCACAAGTTCAACGGGGGCCATCTGGGGCCGAGGTACGAACGACCCGACCATGTTGCCGTGCACCTCACCCACCAAGTCTCACACATCGAAATAGGAAAGTCTGGCGCCAGAACCTACCGCGGTTGAAGTACTGGAACCCGACTATACCCATGGTTGTCAACCGCTCCCACAACCAGGACGGCCCCGCCACGCTGTCAATCTACTTCCGTGAACCGGGGGCAACACTCGCCTCGGATTCCCCGATGCCCAGCTCGTCGTCCGACGGTTTCTCCAAAGCACCCGCGCCGGCCGCAGGTGAGCGCGTACTCACAATCGATATGAAAGACCGGCGGTCCGAGGCGATATTCAAGGAGTTTATGGATAAGAGCGGTGCCGTGCCAATTAAGGTCTCGCCGCAGGATGAGGCTCTCATGCGCGAAATCGAGGACAGGAAGGCGATAGGTGCCATCGATCGGGAGCGGGTCAGGAAGCAGAACGAGGCGGCAAAGAGGGAGAAGCAAATGATTGCGCAGGCCCATTCCGAGGCAGCTGCTATCAAGGCGGCTCTCTAAGAGCTTGGCTGGGTTGGTGTGGGGGGGAGGGGGGATAGGGGATAAAGGAGTTTCTGGTGTATATCAGTTGTACAATATCCTGAGCCAACGAGAAAGAGTTTTGGTTCTCGCAAGGCCCTGCCAGGAGTTTGTGCTAGTTGTCGTCAATATAATTGCACAATGCTTGTCCGATAGCAAAACACGCCCATTCCCGCTTGAAGTACGACCCTTTCTTGGGGGTGCTCTCATCCCGTCTCTCTTGTATAACACACTCGGTTTGGTAAATGCTCACCTCTCACATCGAATCTCTTCTCTCAGAACATGGGCGGGATACATCCCTAGGGAGTAAGGTTCAACGTTGAAGCTGACATACAGGTGTCTACGCATGCTCATGTTGCGAACGCCGATTTGTGCAATCGAACCCTGAGTTCGGAAATGCAACGTCACGACGCGAGAACTTAAACAAAACTGCTGATACTGAGTGAAAGCATTGGCTTTGCTCTCATCTCGATAAGAACCTTGAGCGTAATATACTCCTTTAATCAAATCTTCGAAAATAGAAACCCGCCATGTGCAATGGAACGTTGTCAGACGAATAGTGGCACCTTCCCGGGCAGAATAAGCTGGACTGGAGATGCGGAAAGCCCAACTCCCAATTGTCCTATGGTTTGTAGAAATAACACAAAACATCAGGCGGCAACTTAGAAAAGCTCATTTCTTCCACAGCTTTTATTTTTACCCAATTCTTTTTGCGTGACCCTTTTACTCTATTTCCATCTCTTCGAGTACGAAATTTTTTGGCCGTAGGTTGTGGCTTGACGATCCGCAGCCTTTTGACAGGGGCGGGCTGTTTCCAAATGGATCTGGGCTGAGAGGGAGACAGGGATGGGGATGCCAAGTCCGAGCGGGAGGCTCCCTAACGGGCGAAAAAGGCCACGAAGTTACATGCATCGTATCCCCTTTTTTCTCAGCTCAGCTCTTTCTTGCCAGCTCGACTCGACAGCGAGGAGGCAGTGATTCTAATTCTTCATCATTCATCCTTTCATCGTGTTTCCTTGAATTTTAGGGGACACAAGTCGGCTGGGTTGCGAATCTACCGTTGGTAGCTTCGCTCGCAGCGGCTTTTACCGGTTTGACTTCGATTGCTTCGACACGCTCGTTTTAACCCCGTTTTATTATCCACAGCGCATATCAAGACCGCGGCCCGTCGCGACCCCTGAGACGCAACATCTCAATTCGTCCCGATCTGCGCAAAACAACGAAGAAGGACAGCACCAACACCAAACACCATGGCTTCTGGATCCGACAGGGCCGCTGTCGTCTCCGGCGCCGACCTTGGCGATGCGGCCAGGAGACGCAACATCCCGGGCACGCCGCAGCAGGTTGGCGTTCCGCCCGTCCAGCCCGTTGATGACAAGAAGAAGGCGAAGAAGCAGCCATCGTTCCTTGAGGTTCTTGATCAGTGGGAATGGGTCATTGCCCCGATTGTCTTCACTGCCCTCGCCTTCTTTACCCGCCTCTACAAGATTGGCCTTTCACCCATTGTTACGTGGGACGAAGCTCAGTGAGTTGACCATCCATCCTCCATTTCTCCGTACAAGGCCTCGCTAATCTTTTCACCAACAGTTTCGGAAAGTTCGGTAGCCATTATTTGAAGCGCGAATTCTACTTCGACGTTCATGCAAGTTCTCCTCTACGCAGAACGCTCCAAGCCTCGACTAACCTGAAGCCAGCCCCCTGCCGGTAAGCTCCTCGTCGGCCTCAGCGGATACCTCGCCGGTTACAATGGATCCTTCGAGTTCAAGTCGGGTGAGACCTACCCGCCCGAGATCAACTACACCTTCATGCGCCAGTTCAACGCCTTCTGGGGCGCCATCTGTGTGCCGATGGCCTACTGGACCGCCAAAGAGCTCAATCTCAGGCGCGCTGCCGTCTGGCTTGTTACTCTCATGGTCCTTTGTGAAAACTCGTACACCACCATCAGCCGCTTTATCCTTCTCGACTCGATGCTGCTTTTCGGCACTGTTGCGACCACCCTCTGCTGGGCCAAGTTCCACGGCCAGCGCAGGAACAGCTTCGAGCCCGAGTGGTTTTTCTGGCTGTTCATGACTGGCTTGAGCATTGGTTTCGTCACCAGCATCAAGCTGGTGGGCCTCTTTGTCACCGCTCTTGTTGGCCTATACACCATCGAGGACTTGTGGAACAAGTTTGGAGATACCAAGATGCCTGTGGTAGGTGAACCCTGCGTAATTCCTGCCGAGACGTCAAGACTAATCCAGTACAGACCGAATTGGCTGCTCACGTTGCTGCCCGCGTCGTCGGCCTCATTGTCCTGCCGCTACTCGTCTATCTGCTTAGTTTTGCTATCCACTTCGCCGTGCTTACTAACAGCGGCCCCGGCGACGCTCAGATGTCTTCGCTTTTCCAGGCCAATCTCCGGGGCACTGAGGTCGGCAGGGACAGCCCGTTGGAGGTTGCTTACGGCTCGCTGGTTACCATTAAGAACATGGGCTACGGCGGCGGTCTTCTCCACTCCCACGTCCAGACGTACCCCGAGGGCTCCGGCCAGCAGCAGGTGACCTGCTATCACCACAAGGATGCCAACAACAACTGGTTCTTCTACCCCAACCGCGGTGACACCCCCTATGACGCCGAGGCTGACCCTCGTTTCATCGCTGATGGCGAGGTCGTCCGTCTGCTCCATGCCCAGACCGGCCGCAACCTGCACTCGCACCAGATCGCTGCGCCTATCACCAAGTCTCAATGGGAGGTTTCGTCCTATGGCAACGCCACCATCGGCGACGCGAAGGACCACTGGAGGATTGAGGTCGTCAGCGACGCCGCGTCTCGGGATCGGAGCAAGGTTCGCACTCTTACCACCGGCTTCCGCCTAAAGCATGAGGTTATGGGCTGCTATCTCCGCGCCGGCAACACCAACCTGCCCCAGTGGGGTTTCAAGCAAATCGAGGTTACCTGCACCAAAGAGAACAACCCGCGCGACACCTACACGCACTGGAACATTGAATCGCATATCAACGAGAAGCGTAAGCACTGATCCTGATACCAGCTTGGCGAGTGATACTAACAACGGTGATCAGTGCCCCCTGGTGACCCTGGCCAGTACAAGTCCCCCTTCCTGAAGGACTTCATCCATCTCGTAAGCCTCCCCACGTTGGCCGTTCCCCTATAACATTCGCTAACAGCGTTAGAACGTTGCCATGATGACCTCCAACAACGCCCTCGTTCCCGACCCCGACAAGCAGGACGACCTAGCCTCCCAGTGGTGGCAGTGGCCGATCCTGCACGTCGGCCTTCGCATGTGCGGTTGGGATGATAAGATCGTCAAGTACTTCCTTCTCGGAAACCCCCTCGTCTACTGGGGCTCGACCGCCGGCCTCGGCATCTTCGCCCTGCTCGTTGTCTGGTACACGCTGCGCTGGCAGCGCGGCTACCGCGAGCTCTCGCAGCCCGAGATCGACCAGATCCACTACGCCGGCCTGTACCCGGTCATCGGCTGGTTCCTGCACTACCTGCCCTTCGTCATCATGGCCCGCGTCACTTACGTCCACCACTACTACCCGGCGCTGTACTTTGCCATCCTCACCTTTGGTTTCCTGTCCGACTGGTTCCTCCGGAACCGCAAGGCCGCCGTGCAGTGGGGTGTCTATGCCCTGCTCGACGCGACCGTTATCGGTCTGTACATCTACTTCATCCCCATCTGCTGGGGCATGACCGGATCGAACAAGCAGTACGGCTACATGAAGTGGTTCGACACCTGGCGGATGTCGGATGCCTGAGCGGGCCAATATGTACAAGGATTGGGAACGAAAGAAAAAATGGAGATGGGGAAGGCATAAGAAGGGTCGGGAAATCTAATGTCATTTGTCATTTGGCGTGTACGATGTCTGTCTAGAGTGGGGAGAAGCGGAACGGAAATCCGACAGCCTGATTGAACCGACTTTGCCATCTCATCTCTCGTCAGTGTTTCCTCGACTATTTACAGCGCTGACTGGGCTGGACTGGGTGGCGTTGGGCGACTGGGAAACAAGCGCAACCAATGCATTATGCGGTGGGACGGGTTTGGACGCACAGGGGAGGGCTATGGCGACATGCTGTGCGACTTACTGTGCCGGAGTAAACAGACCCAGGGCCGCACCACACTCTAATACGTCCGTCTACTCAACTCCTGGGCTTGGTCTCTCTCTTTTGTTAGACGGGGTTTGCTAGATCCAACATGAGGTGTTATGTCTCTCTAATTTAGAACGAACTACTCCGTGATGATGCTACAACGGATGTCCTCTATACCTAAAAGTGAGCCGCTGGTCTTGTCTGCTTTTTATACGCTTGCTGGTTTCACTCCCTCGCTGGTATGTCCATATGTGTGTGTTTGTTCCTTTCAAACCCAGCGGTATTTCTCGTCCGCTTCCTAGGTACTTATCATTACTATTAATACAATGCAAATCCCCGACCGGCCCTCCTCCCAGTTCTAGCTTCCATGCTAAATACCTTACCACCCATCCGCCCATCCTCATCCACTCATGATACACTACCGCGAGGATGCCTTAATACATCAACCCACCCACCCCCATTCAACAACACCCGCCCCCCAACCCCTTCCCCGCATCGCTCGTCAGCCGGACCGCCTTGGCCGCCGCCGCGGACCCGGCGCCGCCCGCGCTCGGGCCCTTGACGCCGGAGCGCCGGTCGTTCAGGTCGTACTTGCCCGCCTGGATGTTCTGGAAGATGCGCTCCGCCACCCGCATGAAGGCCATCTCGACGTTGGCGCCGCTCTTGGCGCTCGTTTCCACGTACTCGAGCACCCCGTTGCGCCGCGCCCATTCCTCTGCCTCCTGCCGTGTGACTTCCCGCTTGTTGTTCCCTTTTCCTGCCGAGGTTGATGCCGATGCCGATGTGCTGCCCGCGGCCGGTGTTGTGTTTGAGGCGGCAGCGTTGTTGTCGGCATCGTCGTCGTCGTCGGGGGCGTCGGGGGAGGCGAGGTCGGCCTTGTTGCCGACGAGCACGACCACGATGTCCGGCTCGGCGATCTGGCGCAGGTCGTTGAGCCAGTCGGTGACGTGCTGGAAGGTGGCGCGACGGGTGAGGTCGAAGACGAGCAGCGCGCCCGACGCGCCGCGGAAGTACGACCGCGTCACTGACTTGTATGTCTCTTGCCCTGCTGTATCCCAGAGCGAGAGCTTCATGTGCTTTTGCGGCTGTGGCGGCTGCTGCTGCTTGGCCTGCTTCTCGACGGGGATGGTTGGTGGTGGTGGGAGGCCCCCTGCTTCGCTTGCGTTGGTTTTTGTTGTTGTGCCATCGCCGTTGTTATTTCCGTCTGGTGAGGGGGGTGATCGGGAGGAGGCGGCGGCTGTGATGGTGCTGGAGTAGGGCGGCCCGACCGGCACGATGCGCGATCCGAATTCCACGCCGATTGTTACATCATGATGGGGAACGAAGCGTCCCTCGCACAGACGAATCGTCAAAGAGGATTTGCCACAGCCTGAATCGCCGATGCAGACTAGCTTTGCGATGTAGTCCCACGGAGCGGAGGACATGGAGATGGAGGTTGGAGGGCCGTGCGGTTGACGGCGGGGTTGGAAGCGGGAAATTGGTCGGCGATGAGCGCTGCCTTGATCGGCTATGACGAGTCAAATGCCTAATTGACGAGGGAGTTGCGTGTACAGGCTATCGGTGGTATTGCGAGCTGGCTTCGTAGTCGTAGGCTGGCATTTGATGGCGTTTCCTGGCGTTTAGTTGCTTTCCCGGGCTTGCGCTTCGCAATTCACGGCAATGACGAGGGTTCTTGTTCCGCTGAAACCCGTTGAAGCTCGGGAAAGGTCCAATAATGTGAAGATGGTAGTATCAGCAATCGAAAGATAGGAGCAGGTTGAAGGTTGATTATCAACAAGAAGAGAATCACAAGTGTTCGGGCAGCCTCCAGAAGTTACACTTAGGCTGAGGCGGTCGTTGAGTTGCAGCGCAGCTACAGGGAGCTCCAGCCAATCCATGGTGGACACCAGCGGTTAGGAGCTCCGATGTTCCACCAAGCAACGATCAGCAGGCCTGGATCGGCAGCTGACAGGTCGGCTATCAGTGACGCAACTGCCCGATAACGACCCTTGGCGCCGCCGGCATTAGTGTGCCTTAGTAAAGCGGCCCGGGCAATGCGAGCTGCATCATGGGGCTCACTCCGGTCTTTGTCAGAACTCCTCTACTTAACAAAGATACATCGGAGCTAGACTATTTGAAGAGGGTGATGTAGTGTAGCTTCCATTTCTTTTTGTCTCTGGCTTTTTCTCGTCTGAAAGAGAAGATCCAGACGAAGTTCTTCGGTTCTTGCGGGTGTGTGCGAGACAATTACCAAGCTAGTTATGCATCAATCAGTGTTTCCCCAGACGCAGCACTTCTCTAGCTACATATCTACAAGGATGTTTCGCCCGCATCGGAATTGGTCAGTGGGTCCCCAGCCTGGTCACCGACTCTAGTCACACCCCAGGTGGTCGCTTCCGCCTCGTGAGCAAACCCCCAGCCAGTGGCTGCCTGTGCTCATTCTCGCCCTGTAAATGCTTTTTTCCATCTTCAATAAAAGAACTTGGTCTGGAGTCATGAACCTATTGGCTTCAAAGGGATATATCGAATATAACACCATTTTCTTCGCCGCAGTTTTGCGGGAGAGAAGCATTCCCTGAGGCGCTGACACCCAAACCGGATCATCATTACATCGGCGGCCCAACATATTGGCCAACACCACGCGATCCGACCCATCACCCCGCAAACCCCTTCCCCCAAGTCCGACGGCCCCCCGCCGAGTCTCCGCACTACTGAGCTTTCGCCAACTTGAAGACCGTTTGTGGAAGTCAGCGCTCTCGCCGCGGGGGTGACGGGAATACGCAAACATGTTTTCCGAATGTAAGTCCGCGCCCGTGTTTCGCACGCCCGTACGTCGCTAATTCGCCACGCGAAGACGCCTCCAAGTTCCTCGCGCAATCACAGTCACGACTGTCTAACTTCGCCGGGACGGATAACGGGGACAGAGCGGCTCGGCCGACCGACTGGCAAAGTCGAGGGTCGCGGCTGGGAGGGCGGGCTTTCTTGGGGAGGGGCGGTGGGAATCCTTATAATCCCAGCGGCTCACGGTTCGGCAACCTAGCCACCTTTAGCTCACGTTACGCTACCAACGACGCGCCGTTATTTCAGGCCACCCTTGAGCACGACGACGATGATGAGGAGGAGGCAGCGGATCTATTTGCGCTTCAACGGTCGCGGCGCGTCTTTGCCGCGAGCCGACTCGAAGAAAGCGCTGAGACGGACAATGACGAGAGCCGCGCATCGTTAGAGCGGAGCCACGATGTCGAGAGTTCAACGCTGGGTGAACGGCTTCTGGGTATCAAGAGCAGTTGGAATGGCAGAAAGGGCCATTCCCGTCGGATACCGGGAGAAAGCATGGGTGAAGGCAGCAAGAGGAGTCATCGACGAACATCCGGGGAGAGTGACGAAGACAGGGGGATGGAGGATGTCGCCCTCCAATCTACCATCGCCGGCAGCGAACCGCCCGAAGATCTCCTTGTAGAAACTACGGGAGATAACGACCCGCCAGCGTTCCAGAAGTTCCAGTCTACAACTGCGCCAACACGCATGCAGAGGAGGGACTCGGCGGCCGATTCGGAACTCGGGCTCTCAGTGGACACAAATTTGAACGACGCGCCGGCCCCGCCGATTATCGAGGGCGAAATCTTTAAGCACGACGCCTTCTTCGCTTGGCTCTATTTGATTGCCCAAGCGTCCCTGTTCTCGACTTTCGTGTTGGTCATGCTGCACACGGACCGTGGGGACGGGCCGCTAGGGGATACCATCTACACTACCTTGCGGGCTTCCTTCCACCTGCTGGCTGTTGATACTCTGGTATCCATTATCGTCTCCCTCGTCTGGCTTGCGGCGTTGCGATCGTTCGTCAAACCTCTAGTGGCTCTCATTATGATTGCGGTACCGGTGGTCTTGATATCCTTCTCGCTATATCCTTTCATCTCCAGCTACCAGTCAACCGATGGCAGCACTCGCCTCCAAGATACCGTCATGCGGTGGGCGGCTAGCGTCCCCGCCATCTCTGCGGTGGTTTGGGTCTATCTGGTATACAAGGGACGGCACGCGATTCAATCGGCGGTTGGCATTCTTGAGTTTTCGAGCCGTATTCTGGCTGCGAACTCGGCCCTCGTCCTGGTTGGCATGGCATGCCTCGTTGTGGTGGTGGTCTGGACCTGGGTGTGGCTACTCATGTTCACCAGGGTCTTTCTGGGAGGGAGCTTCTCGAGCCGGCTTGCCAAGTTCATCATCAGCACGTCAAGTTGGTGGCTCGGGGTGTACTTCGTTCTCATGTACATTTGGACCTTGTCCATCATCTCGGGTGTGCAGCGGAGCACTACGGCGGCGACAGTATCCCAGTGGTACTTCCACCGTAACGCGGTGCCGGCCCCGTCATCCAAGGAAGTCGTGTCGGCCGCCCTAGGCCATGCGTTGACGACTGTCTTCGGAACCATCAGCATGTCGACGATCTTGGCCCTCGCCATCCGACTTCCCTTGCTGGTGCTGCCTCGGCGGCTGGCTAACATCCTCAGCATGTTTGTCTTCTCGTTCATCCCGACGTCCATTGCCGCCCTCACAAACCCGTTGACCTTGACCTACGCGGCTATCCACTCACAACCGCTGGCCATATCGGCCAAGGGGCTCAGTCAGATGGACTTCATCGCACCACAGCGGCCGACCACGACACTCACACCGGCGTCGCTCCCCAAGAACAACAGACACTCCCCGTTACTGCCATACCGGCTTGCGAAGCTAATCCTGCACGCGACGCGCTTTATCATGGCCATTGCTCTCGGCTTCGCGGGCTGGGTCATGACCGCCCGGCAGCTGAAAGTTGACCAGGGGAATGGGCTCGGCATGCGGGGCAGCGCCTATGCGTATGTGGTGGGCCTGGTTGCCAGCTTCATAGGCTGGGGCATCCTTGGCGCGATGGAGGGTATTCTGAGCGGGATTGTCGACGCCGTCGTCATATGCTACGGCAGCGAGAAGCGCATGACACAGGGCCCTGGCGGGTACTGCATGAGGCGCGTATCTTTTCGGAGACCGGAGGATGGAGCGCGGCGGGGGATAGTATTTACTGA